TAGTACCCCAACTTATTCATAGTCTTTTGCACTCACTTAAACGAACGTAGGCGCCAAACCGAACACGGGAGGCCCGGGACCCCAAATAGCAACCTGTCTGGGCACCAGAGGACGCCCGGATTCGCTTCACTTAAAGACTATAGTAACCTTTCGTATCCATACTCTATCGTACTGTTTAAAGCGAAATTATGCACCATACCGCTCACAGGATAGCCCAGAGCGCCAAATTGAACCCTGGTGGGGCGCCGGCGGACGCGCCTGTTTCAATTTAATGAACTATTATAATACTCCGAGCTTAATCGTAAAATACCTACAACATTTGCACGTGATCAATCCCCGCTAATTATGTAATTATTTTTTTTCCCAACACCAAAACAAAGTAATAAAATGTAAATTCTTTTCCACTAATGCACTGTTTTATAAAGGGAAGTAATTGTGTTTTCCTAATTTATCAAAGGGAAGTAAGTGCTAAAGGACTAAATATAAATATAATTTTCAGACATAATTAGAATTTTTATAAAAGATGATATTTTTTTTAAAGTTGTGTTTAATGACCATGCCGAAAATTATTACTATCAGTTTAAAAAAATGAAAATTATGTCCCAACCCTTTTAATAGTAATTTTTTAACTTATAAATTTAGACTATGAGCACGGTTATAATCTAACACTTAAATCCATCAAAGTATGTCCACGACAAACAAACTTATCACATGTAGCTGTATGCTGTATGAATTGAGCTTTATATATTAGATAACATACTATACTTGGCATAATGTGTAACAATAAATTCATAAAATCATGTTTGTTTTAACCTTTGTATAATTGATGACCTGTCTGACATCTCTTCCATAAATTGTGGGTGTGGCTTCTAGCTTTGCTACTATAATAATTCCCTTGATGTATTTTAACTTGTATTACTATTAGGTTTTCTTGACCATTATTTTCCTTCTCTTTGGGTATCTGTATTATTTCTTGGTCATCTAGCTTAGTATTTTCTCACTATGTGTTCTTTTGCTTGGTTTATCAACCAACTTTATACAAATATTATGGCATTGCCTTGACCTCTCATATTTTTTTATTAGATATCTGTCATCTAGGTCTCTGTTGGCCTAATAAGATACGTTCTTTCTTAAATTATTGTTATTGCTGTATTTTGATATTATATGTAGTTTGTTGTACATGACTATTTCTGTTTGATCTGCCAATCTACACTAGCAGTGATCTTGGGAGTGACCTGTGTTTCCGATGTAAATCATCAATTAGTTTTTGTTTTTTTATAATTATTGTTACTGTATCCACAGCTTAATATACTTCTTCTACTTTCAGTTTGTGCTTTAATTACAGGTACCTTCTAGTTTTTGACTCATATTTCTTGACTAACTTGTGATTCATTATTAATTCCAATTCATTCAAAAAAAATTCTCCAATTCTCTGTTAAATTTACTCTTAATGTCCAGTATATCTTCTTTATGGTTTGACTCCAACTTTCTAAATAGTTCTACTATAGGTACGTTATCTCCAGTGTTGCTTATTTCGTTGACCAACTTGTTCATCATCATTGGTTTGCTATCATCCGATAGTATTATTTTATGGTGATTGCTGCCATTCTCCGATAAACTTATTGAATCACCTTGACTACCATTCTCCCAGGGGCTTAACACCTAGACTGCAACTCTGTGATGAACTTAAGTAAACACTAACACTGCCTGTTGTAATTTCAGATCTATTTAACTCTATTTCTAGCTTATGCTTTGCTTCATCTGCTTCTCTTTGAAGCCGTATTTTCTCATTTACTGCTTTAGCAGTCTTTCATCTCCTTTTTTCTTGCTTTTAAATGCTTCTTTTTATCAATTTCTATCTTCTAACACTTTAGCCATTTCCTTGTCATCTACTTCCTTTTTAGTCTTCTCTTCTTCGTTTCTAGCCTTTTCTACTTTATTTCTAGCCTTTTCTTCTTCTTTTCTAGCCTTCTCTTATTTTTTTTTTCTAGTATCGTCTTCAGCTTTCTTTTGTTTTGCAAATGCCAACCTGTCTTCCTTTTTAATGTCTAGCTCATTCGCTAGTTCTATATATTTTGCCATTTTAGAACGTTTATTTCCGGTGAAAGTTTAAGCTCAAAATGTTAAAAAAAATATATACTTCGGTAAGAACGCGTATCTACAAGCTCTTGTCTAGCTTGCTTTCTGTCGACAGTTTGTTTACCGACACGCATCATGGATCGAAACTGGGGTGCGAAAAGTTGGCACGTTGATCAAGACATGAAGACAATGCAATCTAACATTAAATTTGACTTAGTTGGATGCCAAGAATTTTTTTTTAGAATAATGAAAATTTTGCCTAAATTATTTGGCAGCCGTAACCAACTATTCCATCTTATTATACACGAGTTATCATGTTCATTGGGTGCGCAAAAGTTTTTAGGCATGCAATTTTTTTTGTAAACAAAAAAGGTTAAAGTGCTGAAAATAAACCGGGAGTGATCTCTCCTCCTTAATATTGCGAATATTCTTTTATAACACTACGGGGAAGGCAACTCGTGATATAGAAATAATTTTTAATCATTTTTTAATTGCTAAAACTATTTAAAATACAATAGAATCTCGTAGAAACGAAAATTGGGCACCTAGTTAATGGCAAAAAATATGTGCATGATAGTGCGGAATGTTATCAGTACTTTATAAATATATATGCTTTTTTGTTAAATCGGAAACTTTGTAAATTACTACTTCCGGTAGAAAGGAAATTACTCTAAAGTTGACGGGAAGCAGAAAAAGTTGTCTTTTACTTTTATGTAAGATTTTATTTTTCTATCTACAAGTTATAGGCTTTTGAAAAACTAAAAGTACAATAAGTCCCACTTCCGGCTATCGGAAATCGCTCAAAAGGTAATACAGAACTGCAAGTTTGATATAATAATACTTATATAAAAGTTAAATAACCTAGCTGTAACCTATTCAAATAAACCCATTCACGCTTTTTTACAGACATAAATTCCCCCATACACACACGGACAGAATTGCAAAGTCCAGTTTTTCCGAACATGATTACGTGTGAACCACCGACATTTTAATAAATCTTTATTTAGAACGTTTGTCCGATGAAAATAAGTCCCCTACACTTCGTATATGATGAAGCACTAAGAAGTAAAAACAGGAAAACTGTAAAAATTACACGTGTTTTTTGTGTACGATTACAATACTTTCTCTATTCTAATATATAAACGCCCATGTGCGCACTTCTCTTTCTCTCTCTCTCTCTCTCTCTCTCTCTCTCTCTCTCTCTCTCTGTCCGCAAACTATTTACGCAGGATATCACAATCTTCAGCGATATATGGAGAACTTGATACGGACTTTTGTTGAAAATAATATGGAAGATGTTTTAAATGTATAAACACAATTTTATTTAAAGAAAGAAAATAAAAATAAAGAAATATTCGAATGTAGAAACACACTTTTAATTATGCAACAGGAAAAGTGTTTATAATTGGGACAAGAACGCAGAAATCGCTGACGTCACATGTCATACAATTGAAATAAAGTACACAAAACCAATGGCGTCATCATCCAATTTTAGAATATAAAGAAGTGAACTATTTCATTAAAATTTAATTTAGATCTATAGTTTTATTTATCGAGACGTAATTTATGAATTTTATACAATTTCCTCGGCCAAAACTTATAAAATTTCTTTAAAAAGCAACATAAATACTATTGAAAAGCCGGTTTTTTAACTGAGTTATTTAAGCCTTTCAATCAATACGTGCATTTAATACGGTGTTGTGTTGATAAATTATGTATATAATTTGGTCTTATTTTTTTCTAATAGGTATTAGTAGCCTATGTTATTTTAAATGTGTCGGGCTTATAGCTATTTAGTTATCTCTTTGCTTTGTCACTAATATCCTTAAACCTTTTAGTAAAGAACATTGCTTTTTGAACAATAACTATTTTATAAAATATTTTTCCAAAAAATGTATACCATTAAAAATATATAGACCGATAATTCACGTGTAACGGGTACCAACGGCTAGTCCTAATATATATAAGCCCATTCGCGCACTTCTCTCTCTCTCTCTCTCTCTCTCTCTCTCTGTCCGCAAAATATTTTCACAGGATATCAAATCTGACTCTTCATCAATATATAGAGAACTTGATATGGCATTTTGTTGAAAATAATATGCTGGGTGCTTTAAATGTACAAACTATATTTTATTTAAAGAAAGAAAATAAAAATAAAAGCATTTTAATTATGCTACCGCAAAAGTGTTTATTATTCTGATAAGAACGCAGAAAAAAATGAATTCAAATTTCACGGGGTTAAAATACGGAAAGTGCACAAAACTAATGGCGTGATCTTCTAATTTTAGAATATGAAGAAATTACCAATTTTAAGCAAATTTGACTTACATCTACTTATCAAGGCGTACGCTATAAAATGTAAATAGTTTTCTCTGCCAAAAGTAATACAAACTACTTGAAAAGATAACACAAATACCAATGAACAGCCGGGATTTTTTACGGAATCATTTATGTGTCTTAATCTGTGTGTGTGTGTTTTTAATACGATGCAGTGCTGACTAATAATTTATTTAAATTTTGTTTTTCTAAAAAAGTAGTGGTAGCCTATTTTATTTTAAATGTGTCTGATTTTTAGCAATATAACTTTTCTTTGCTTTGTCACTAATATGTTATAATGCACTAAAAAGTAGAGAAAAAAATGTAATTTATGAAATATATCATGATACAATAATATTTAAAATCATATAAATAAAAGTGTGGGTCCCTTCCTAAATATAAGTAAAGGTATCAATTCGAAATTATAGTGACCAACGCATTTGTTTATGTTAATTTAAAAGATAGTGGATTATTATATATTTCAAGAAGATATTTTAATTTTTTAAAATGCATTATTAAATAAAATATTGTTATTAAAACGCTTTTTATGAATTTAAAAAACAAACGTGTTGCTTTTATTATGAACAAACTTTCTCATTAAATAGATAGACACATCGTGGCCTAACTCATGATGAGCAATTTGATCTTACTGTTGCTGCTGTTATGCACAGTTTCTTTCGTGGAATGTAACTTAACAGAAACCTTTGGCAAAAGATGGTATGTTTTTGTTATCCACATATTTTAGTTTCTTTTATTACCTGGTTGTTTAGAGTTAAGATTAGAACCAGCAAATGTTATGGTAAATTTTAAAATGTTTTGGTAATAGTGGTATTGAGCAAAAGTACAAGGCCCATCAAGTAAACAAGCGGAACACAGCTAATTTTAGACATAATCTCTATTAATTTTAAAAATCCGTTTATCCTAGGAATAACATTTACTTTTAGAGTATATTATCAATAAAAATATAATATTAAAGATGTATATAAAGATGTATTGAGAACCTCTAAGCTTTCACATTAATTCGAATAATATTGCATGACCTTTTGATAGCATTTTAGTGTAGTCGACTCTTAGAAATTATATGTAATGTTGTGACCGCCAGTTATCGCTTCATATGCTGAGGTCTCTGATGCAGATGAGCCCTACTTCATCTGCCCCATGTGTCTTGGGCTCGAACGGGAATGATGACTCAATTTATACATGCATTTAACATCTTAAACCTTACCTAAACCAGACTTACAAGTGTATCTTCATTATAACGTAGCAATCTGTCTATATAATTGTCTTCATGGCGACCATGCGAAACACCATCAAGACGTAAGCTAAACAGACCATATCGCTACCAAGCCCACCCCCATCAGTCTGGTGAGCTGTTTACTATTGGGTCGAATTAGTGACGGCTATTAGGGGCAGATAATTTAGTTTTTAAAATATGTGAAACTAAGGTGAGGTAATAACACCTTTTGTTTAATCTTTTTTTTAATGTCGTTCGCGAATTGTCGTCACGGATGGCTGCTTTCACGGGGGAGGGAGAGGAATGGAAAGTGAGGGTTCTTCACGAGCTACTGATAGTGTTTTAAAGCAAAATATTTTTAGTCGAAGCATTGTTAGCGTCGAATTCACAAAATATGAAAAATGGGAAATAGAACAACTAAAGAGAGCCGTATGCTACGTCGCGGGTCAACTCGCATATATAATTCTCATGAGCACCATGCGGGAAACCAACAAGATGTAAGCTCAACAATATATATATATATAATTCTGTTAAGGGGACCTTGCTGGGCACCAAAAGACGTAAGCGCCGCCTAGCAGCCCCCTCTCTTCCTCTCTAGGCATATCGCTACCACCCCCACCCCCACCGGTCTGTTGACCATTTTTTTTTTTACAATCGTGGATTAGGGTCTAATTAGTCACGGCCATTAGGGGCAGATAACTTAGTTTGAAACTATTTTAAACTTAAGGGAGGTAACTAAGAGGAGACTTCTTTCACGGGGAACCGGGTAGAAGTCGGGTGAATGGAGGAGGGGGTTATCGTCCCTAACGGGCTACTGATAGTGTTTTAAAGCAAAAAATTTCAGTGGCAGCATTCGCACATAATGAATTACTGAAATGTAGAATATATAACAACTAAATAGCGGCGAATGTTACGCCGCGAGTCGACTCGTAAATTGCATACTAGCAGAGCGCCCGCATTCCATGCTGGTGACGGTAGCACTAAACAAAAACCGTGATTAGCTTAATCGTAATCATAGTCATAATATACTATTATACAAGGCTAGTGGTAGTGTGTCAGTCCTTCCTTCCGTCATTCCATCATTCCGTCATCGCTATAGAACCATCAACATATGCCTTGACTTTACTTTCATCGCATTCTTATACAATTACTTAAGTAGGGTATATTTATATAACGAATTACATTTTTTTCATGTCGGCAGCTTTTATTCTTTATTGCATTAGTCAAGAAACGAACTTGAATAAAATATTAAATACACTCACATTTAAAACATATTAAAAGGATCAATATCAAATAATATTTTGCTTATATACCTATGGTCGAATAAAAGTAATCAATTCAAATGTTTAATAAAATATATAATACTTATGACAGGGGAGGTAATTGAATTTTTTTAAACTCACGCCAAATATTGATATTTAAGTAAAAAAATGTGAATGCATATTGCGCTGACGTCAATTAGGGCATTATTGTTGAAATACAATAATTAGCGTGGATTGAATAAAGTGCAATGAGGTTGGTAAAACACGGATATTTAAACTGCCTTTAAAATATTCCTATATACACTGATTATTATTTTTAATCAATAACAGTTTACACGCTGCTCCTAAATGTCCACTGTTTACTTCTATCTTTCGGTTTGCGGACAGGCTAGGGGTATTATAGTCGTCTACTAAATAGAATCCGGCGCTTCAACCAGATCCCCGGCAGGGTGCTATTCGACGCCCAGGGCTACACTGTGAGCACTATGCTTTTATGTTTGCATTAAAGTTTGTGTTTATGTGATGCGTTATTGTTTGTTTTTAGGGCTGTGATAGGGTTTATGTTTGCGTTTTTTTTGTTTCCGTTTGCGTTTGCATTAGTGTTTGCATTTGTGTTTACGTTTGTGTGGGCGACTGTGTTTTCTTTTGTGTTTAAGTTTGGTTTTGCGTTGTGTTTGCGATTCTTTTTTGTTTGTTTGTCGTTGTGTTTGCGTGTTGAGTCTGCGTTAGCGTTTGTGTTTGTCCATTACTTTGTGTTTTTTTTTGCGTTTGTGTTTGCATTGTGTTTGTGTGTGCTTGTTTTAGTTTTGAGTTTGTGTTGTGTTTATTTTTTCGGTTGTGTTTGTGATTAGTTTTGTCCTATCCCCACATAGGTACATGTAAATTCAATTCATTTTTTCTAGGCATATAAGCAAATGTATTGTTTTACATTGATCAGTTTAATATGTTTTAGCAATGTGCATGTATTTAATATTTCTTCACGTTCTTTAGCTTAGGTATGCAAAAGAGTAAACATTTGACGACAATTAAAAAATAAAAGTCGTTATATAAACAAACCCTAGTCCAATACTTATAATTAGAAAATGAGTTACGTAAAATCACGGCATGTGTTAATGTTTACTTTTATGGTTCTAGAATCTTTAGCGATGCAGGAATAACGGATGGAAGGAAGGACTAAAACATGTCAACCAGCTTTTTATTATAGATAACTATATAAGTTGTCTTAGTAAATAAAATGTTTTTTTATAGGTGCGCCCGATACTTTAAAAAATGTTTTCCCACTAAACCATGCTGTTGGGACATTTATGTGTGCAGGTAAAAATTTGTCCTTAAATGACGTCACTATCTTCTGAGGATAGGGGGTCCGTGAAAATCGTCAATTAAAGCATGCCGCGTAAAAAAATTGCATTTTAGTACACATGTGTGTAAAGATACAGATAAACAATGTATTTATGTTTGAGTTCGGGTGTTTGTGTTTTATGGTTCGTGTAATATTTGAATACACCTATTTGTCCAAAGTATGTGTTAGAGAGCGTCACTGGAATATAAAAAATTGTTAATAATGCAACTGGGCATTTCTCATGACCATTGCAAAGTATATATATATATATACTAGGCATACTGCCTAGGTTCGCATAGGTTTTCAAAAAAATTGAGACATTGAATGATTAATACATAGGTGAGTAGCTGTTATATTAAATGCATAGGGCCTAAATTTAAACATTGGAGTGATTTCATCTCATTCAAACAATGATTGAATATTCGCCTATTTATTACTCGCAATGTTATTAGAAATGCGAGGGCTTTCTTAATAGTATAAATCAAATATTTTATTAAATTTCTTTCGCAATTACAACACAAAACTTAATTTATAATAAAAAATCTATTTAAAAAATGCTATAATTTTTTATTTTTGTTTTTCTTAGAAATAGTAAACAAAATATTTTAAAATTATTACATTAAAAAGCTACCTCCACTGTTCGTAGACCAAATGACATACTCTTTAATTACTTTTTCACAAACATGTGGACAAATCTAATGATTCTAAGGTTTTTTATATAAATAAATAAATAAGTAAATAAATAAATATATATATATATATATATATATATATATATATATATATATATATATATATATATATATATATATATATATATATATATATAATATATATATATATATATATATATATATATATATATATATATATATATATATATATATGTATACATATATATATATATATAAATATATAAATATATATATATATATATATATATATAGGCCCTATATATATATATATATATATATATATATATATATATATATATATATATATATATATTTATATATATATATATATATATATATATAGAGAGAGAGAGAGAGAGAGAGAGATATTTAGATAGATATATATACCATTTCTAGATGTTTTTAAAAATTTTTTATTTTTTTCTGTGTAATAGGACCAAACCATGTGGAACAACATTTAGGTGTATGAGACCAGGGAATGGCAACGCATGACGTCATTTATGGATGACCCAGGAGTCCTTGTCAAAAGAAACAACTAATGGATAATTTTGTTAATTAATTCATCTAATAAAAATCGAAAAGAAAATTTTTTTTTGTATGTTTATTTGCGATAATTAGGCGATATGTCATTATCAAATCATCATCATCATCTTCACTTTGCCCTTATTATGGTTGTTGGGGGCACCACAGTGGACACATAAATTCTCCGCCATCCACTTCAGTCGTCTGACGCTCATTTTCTTTCTGTGAGAAGACTAGTCTGTTCCTTTGTGTCATATATAAATATTCGTCTTTGCTTTCCCCTTATTTTCTCTCTCGGCACAGAGCCTTACAACATTGCCATTTACAAATCAGAAGCCATACCATTCAGGATGTTGGTCATTATCAATGTCTTCACGGTTGCAATGGCATCTATATCATCAGCGAATTGTGTGAATTGGTGATGGTTCGTCTTCGGTTACTGACTTAGCTGATATGGTTTTCCAAGGCGGCAGTCTTTGAAACGTTTACCTGCTTAAAAATAACTTCTATGCATACAATTTTAAAAAGAAACGTTGTCTATTTGGAAAACAAACGTCATTTATCAGAATAATTGTATTCCTTTTAAGATTAAAGAAGAAAAAGAAATTCAAGCTACAATTGTCAAATAATTTTAACAAATAATTTACTAGGTTTCATAAAATAAAAAGAATAACACAAATATTTCATATGTGTCAAAGAAATAATTTTTTTTTCATTTCACAATAATAAAATATATTATTTTTCTCAAAATAAGCAAAGTAATGAAATTTAGAAACATTTTTACTTCATAATAATCTAAGTAATAATGATGGCTTAAAAAATACGTCTTATTATTTAAAAAAAAATTAAATCAAATAAACGTTGAAGATTGAAGCACAACGCGAAATTTACATACTCCATTTTAATACATTAGTGATCAGTTGATGAATCAGTATGATTAGAAAAATTATTTAAAATGTTGTCTCTCTTCAACACAATTTTTTTTTTCTTTTATTGTTATCAATACTAGTATTGAAACAACGGGTGCAATTTACAATCTTTACACATGTACTTCTGGACTGCTAACCCGTAAGTCTTGAGTTCGAATCCGGGTTCAAGTCAGTAGACCGTCCCTGAGGCCACCCAGCTCTGATTGGTACCTAACCCACGTTAGGGAGAGTAAAGGCGGCTGTACCTTTGTCTACCATTAGCGTTGAAATATCACTTTCTGTTTATATTGCTATTTCAGTTACATCTCTTGCTTCCACCCCCTCTACATAACAATAGACACAAACTTAAAGTAAAAAGTGATTTATCTAAACACAGACAACGTTCTTATAGAATAATATTTACAATTTTATAACTTTAATGTAATAAGTTTATTTTTGAAATATTAACATTATTTATTACATTTTTTAAAATTTCAATCTATAATTATTTTATATACCACATTTTTATAAATATACAATCTTATAATTAGTGATGGGTAACTAACTTACGTTAGGGAAACAAAGGCGGCTCGGCATAGTGTTGACTACACTTACCCTTCATATTTCGAAGTCTCTGAAGCAAGTGATGGTGACATTAGCATTGAAATCGTTTACTTAATTTAAGGCATCAAGTGAAACCGAAGGATTTAACAGATGTGAATGAATTTAAATATAACAAAAAAGGATACTAAAAAAGGGGTAATAAATATAATTTCTATAATTTAACTACTATTGTGTTTACGCATGGCTATCAGCTCTAATGATTGAGATCTACAAGCGGCAGAATTCTACTAAGACCAACGGACAATACACTCTAAGTTTCACAAATGGCGACATAACCCGAATAGAAGAAACCCTGAGCTGGGTGCTTCCTTCTTTATGCAAGAGACTCTAATACAAGCTCTGCCCAAAAAAAATATTCATCGTTAGTATCCACCACACCAACAACCGAAGTATTACCGTTTACACAGCAAGTAAAAAGCCACACCACACCATATCACCTTAACCTAACAAGAAAAAATACATCACCAGCAAAGTTCAATGACATTAGAAGCCACCACTCCGTCCAAATCACATAGTGAAGACCTGAATCGCCACAAACTTTTCCTAATCTGCTTTGCTTTTATTCTTCGGACCACTGTCAATACATTTGGTTAACGAAGAGCACATGGACGCCCTAAATTGTTAGATTTACAATCAAGACAAACATGTTGGAACATTCCGAAACATAACACCAAAGAGCACTTACCTATTAGTGTTTATATTGTGAGGTTCCAGACTGCTTCTTTACAACAAACAAACATCTAAAAACACACCCTTAAAGTTGGCAACCAGAAATTGACACAGCCCACAATGAACTCTATTATTAACAAGACTCAAACAACGAAGTAACATACATCTACTGTGACGAAGCGGACAAATTCATTCAATAATGCAATGCAGCTACAATGTTTCCAATGACAACCTATCAACTCAACAAGAACTTAGACTTAAACCTTTTGTATGAAATCCAATACATTTTTATCTCTTAACGGAATGGTCGGGAGTACTTTTCTTTATAAATCGAACAATTCATTGATTTCCCAATTTTACTTGATCTATTCGGAATAACCAACGTTGAATCTAAATAGACATTGCTATGACCCTAAAAGCCATATTTATTTATGAAAAACCGTCTTTAAAGTACATTGTACAGAGTCATTTGTTTACTTTTGTGGTAAAAATAGCCACTTTTTTTACCTAGAGAAAATACTATTAGGCTTCCCGACACAAAGTAATATTTCAGCGTTGTTCTCATAGGCTGGGACATCCATAGCTCCCCTATACACCCTTTAAACTGGCCCACCAGGTCGTTCAATAAAACACAACACCTGGTTAACGTTAAATCTTAAGAGCTTTATTGATCCTTAAGCTGGCCGGCCTAGTCCTAACAAAGTATCATTTTATAAACTGTGTATCAATACAAGTCTTAAATCTCAGTGTAAATAAATCTCTCCTTACAAATCTCAAGGTCTAAGGGTCAGGTAAAGTAGACTCACGTGTTTCTTTGACCTCGACGTATGAAGGGATAGTGTGGTCAGCACTATGCCCAGCCGCCTTTACTTTCCATCAGAGGCGTAGCTACCCTTCCCGGCGCCCGGGGACATACTTCCAAGTTGGCGCCCCCTCGAGAGCAAATCTTCGATTTGCACCCCCCCCCCCCCTCGAACTTTTCATTTGCACACCCACCTCAAACTTTCGATTTGCCCCCCCCCTCGAACTTTCCATTTGCACCCCCTTCAAATTTTCAATTTGGCGCCCCCCCCCCCTAAGGTCGGCGCCCGGGGACATATGTCCCTCCCCCGCCCCCCCCCCCCCCCTCGATACGCTACCATAACGTGAGTTAGGTAATCTTACATGTTAGCAATAGCTCTCTACCGCTAGGTCATTCCGTCACTAAATCTTGGTGTAACCGTACTAAACACATAAACTAGAGTTAGGTACCTGTAGTTGCGAGGTGTGGTTAACATCATTGAGGGAGTGCCCTCCCATTTCTATCGTTGTTAGATGCGAACTACCGACCCCTATACGGCTAGATAAATGTGCGTAATCATCAATGTTTACAAAACTTTGCTCATGTCTATTCTCAAAGAGCCTTTAAAAAATTAAAATTTAAGGCAACACATATTTCAGCAATTGTATAAGTGTATTATTAGGTGTTATTATATCAATGTTATTGTAGTATGACGTATTTTAATCAAGAAAATTACTTTGCTTTTTATGGATTAATCTTTGCTGCCATTGTTGCCGGTAAGAGATACACACACAGATGTCTGAAGCTATATTGGATATTTTTGTTGTTTTATTTAACTGAAATCTTCGTGTTGTTTGTCCCTAGTTTTTGCTTCTAAGTGTCAGCCGTTTTTGGGATGTCTGTCTACATATGTATCTAGCTACCAGTTTTTATTTTCGTTTATTATTTCTCTGCTTTGGATATTACTTTTTTGGCTAGAACAGCTTTAAATTTATATAGTTTCAAGGTTTCTACAGATTATATATATATATATATATATATATATATATATATATATATATATATATATATATATATATATGTATATATCAATATAGAGAAAATGAACGTTGTAGTCTTGGTTTTGTATGAGATTCTTAAGTCTTGAATCTGCAGCGTGGGAGAACGGTTTGATTGTTGAGACTTACATCTGTAGAACGTCTGTACACTTATAACTGTTTCCTCAGATTATCCCGTTCATATCAAAGACACATATAAAGGGATAGTGTGTTCAGCACTATGCCCAGCTGCTTTCGTTTCCCTAACGTTGGTTAGGTACCAATCAGAGACGTTCGACTGATTTGAACTCGGATTCGAGCTTGAGCATGGGTCTCTTCCTAAATATTAGTAAAGGTATCCAATAGATACTAAAGTGACCCACGCTTTTCTTTATAGTAATTTAAATAGTAGTGTCTAATATTAGGAAGAGAACACGCTTTCCTTGCAGTTATTTAAACAGTAGTTTATAATTTATTTTCTACTTTTTAGTGCATTATTACATAAAAGCTTGTTATTAAAACGGTTTTTTTATGAATTTTTTTTCAAATACGATTAAATTTCTTATTTCCACGACGTAAATTTTCATGTCGCAAATATTGTCGTTAGACGTATTGTATTTTTCACTTGTGATCAAACACCCGTTGATAGACAACCTGTGATCAAAGACCCTCTGCTTAGAAAACACCTGTGGTCAAACCCCCTATGGTCAAACCCCCCTATGAACAAACCCGCTATGGTCAAAGCACCGCTATGGTCAAAGCCCCGCTGTGGTCAAACCCCCTATGGTCAAAGCACCTGTGGTCAAAGGTACTAGGACCATAAAACAACAGGGGATGGGAACTCCATTTTAAATACTTAAAGTTTTTAAAATAGAATAAAATCTCGTAGAAAAACGATTTGCACACCAGGTGAACGCCAAATGAAATGTGCATAATAGTGCGCAATAATATTAGTACTTTATAAATTTACATTCGTTTTTTTTGAGAAAAAAAAAAGCGTAAATTAGTACTTACGGTCAAACGAAAATTACTCAAAATTTGACAGAATGTAGAGGATTAGATCTTTTCCTTACATATGAAATTTCATTTATCTATCTGAAATAGTACTTAAGTAAGTTATAGGCTTTTGAAAAGTAGAAAAAGTACCACTTCCGGTTATCGGAAATCGCTCAAAAGCTCAAACTGATCTACTATTTTAATAAAATACTTATATATGAAATTTACTCACCCTAGCTGTAACGGTACTCAAGTTATCGTGTTTACACACACACACACAGACACACAGACAGACACACAGACATACGGAGAAGAGTGCAAAATTATGTTTTTCCATATCAGTGAGGTGTAAAATCGATTTTTTTTTGCACGATTACATGACTTTCTCTATACTTCGTATATACGAGAAAGTAAAAAGGAAATGTATTTAAAACTAATGACATAAATAAAAAAACAACTTAAAAATAAAGATAACGCAAGAAACCATTACACATACAAAGCTTTAATGTTTCATATTCTTTTGATCGACTCTCGTATAGGAGGCATTATGGAAAACATGTTGTACCAGAGATTTTCAAAACAGACTAATGGACCTCACACAAATGACATGTTGTTGTAACTTGTTTTAATTTTTTTTTAAACTAAGAATTTTATATATATATATATATATATATATATATATATGGGGCCAAAAAAAAATTCTTTGCGGGGGGGGGGGGGGGGGGGGCTTTTTTCTAGTTCCGTCACTGGTTTTATAGAAATATTTTTATTGACAGCATTGGTACTGTCGAATTCACAAATTATGAATTACTGAAAAGTAAAAAAAAAACTAAATAGCGGCGTGTGATACGCCGTGGGTCGGCTCGTATTTTATAAATGGCCTGATTAAACATTGTTAAAACACTTACGCTAATTAATAAAAACATGCATGTGAATATCTTTAAAAAGTTTAGATCTATTACTATATATTCTTAAACATGTTTAAGCATACCGCCACTCCCCCATCCCCTCACTTGATCCTTACGAAGTACGAACATCCAAGGTCGCTCTCTTGTCAAGTTTGTGGACTAAGAAAGGTTGTCACGGAAAAAGCTGTCCCAGTTAAGTTGTGAAGTCCAATAATTAAGATCCTGTATTTGAGTCTCATATAAAATAATTAAGGCTTGAAATAGATTCTAGATGTAGAATTTACATTAAGTCTAGGTCTAGAATTTACGTTAAGTCTAGTGACTTAGATCTAGATCTAGAGATCTAGATTCATAACTTTTTCTTCCTTCAACAGCTGATCTGTAGATCTAGAGAAATTTATTGTAAAACTAAATGACAAAGACAGCTGAAAATTGATATAAGTGTTGGAACGTAATAAATACAGCAAACGGACGTATTGTTAAAGTTATAGTCGACAAAATTTAGCTTTAGAACGCTTTAAACATTGGTATGGGAAAACAGTTTTCTTTGATAGAAGCCGCCATTGTTGATGTAAAATGTAAACAAATCATGTGACGTCACTATTCCGTCAAAGTTAAGCCATCGTTTGAAACTTCTAAAATTAATGTGGTTAATCTATCAATGAATAAATCAATAAATTAATTAACGTCTTTAAATAAATGTGTGATTAACAGTCTGTCTGAAAACAAAAATCGTTCTCTTCCTACATACTATTTTACAGCTCTCCACATAGTGCAGATTCTCTCCAGTAGCAAATTAGACAAACAAAAAAAATTTTCAAACATGTAAGCAAGCTTGAATTTTAGTATTATAAAGATGGCACCCGGATAAACTGTGTCGAATCGCAATCGTCTTTTATTTTTATATACCGTATATAGAGAAAAATCCCACTATCCCGTGGCGCCGCCCTTGCGATATTATGAAAAAAGGATTTTTACAGAAATCTCACCTGAAGTGTTCTAATTAACTCCCCAAAGTTTGATGAACGATGTTAAAATGCAATCGACTTTTAATTTTATATACAGTATGTAGAGAAAAATCGGACCCTCCTGTGGCAGCGCCCTTGCGAAATTTAAATTATTTTTCTACAGAACCCTTCCCTGTAGTGTTCTAATCAAATCCCCAAAGTCTCATGGCTATCGAATGAACGCTGTCCAACCAAAATCGCTTTTTTATATACCGCATATAGAGAAAAATGAAATCGCGCCCTGCTGGGGAGCCGCCCCTTCGAATAGGAATTTTTTTTTCGCAAAAACCTCCTCAGGAATATTCTCAACAACTTCCCAAAGTTTCATGGCGATGTAATGAAAGGTTTAGTAATGCATAAAAGACATACAAACAAACAAACAAACACAAACATACATTTCTTCATATATATATATATATATATATATATATATATATATATATATATATATATATATATATATATATATATATATATATATATATTTGTATCTGGCGACACAACTGATTGTTCTGGGTATGATCCGCGTTCATTTAGTAAAAAACCAAAGTAAAAAAAAAAACAACCATAAAAACATATGTCAATGCCAGAATCAGATGTTTATTTTTTCTTAAAGATTCTTTCATTCATTTTCTTTTCTACAAGGGAAAAAAATAACAGAGTAAATAATACCATTACAGTTATATGTATATAATCACAAATATTAAAATTCTAAACATAAAGACTGTTTATATTTTTTCTTTTTTTTTAATTTAACTTACCCAACAAGCAAACACGTTAATACGCACACTAAAATGTGTATGTCATAAATCATCGATTGTTTTTTTTTAAAATTCAGTATTTTGAAAGCGTTCCTGTGTGTTATACTTTGATCTGCGCAATCAGTTTTATAATTGGAAACTTTAAAGTCTTGCTGAGTAAAATTTTGTATGCAACGTTAATGTGTAAAACATTGCTATTTTATCATTTATCTAAACATTTTATGAACAATAGAAGATTAGGATACTTTGTTGCTGAATGTATTGATTGAGATGTTGTGATTTTCGATGGAGATGTGACGCAAACAATGTTAATAGTGAAAGTGTCGGTTAGTATTGAAAAAATGGAGTATGTGTTATAATTAGAAGACAGACATGGCGAAGATATTTTTTTTTAAAAAAGTATGTTTATGTTAAAAAATGTATTATAAACTTAAAGAAACAACCTTAAACTACGCATTATTTTTCAGGTCTCTATAACTTACTACTTTGCAGGCCAACATATTTTTTCTCCACCATCTCCTTTATCTCTTCTATATAAAGAAAGAAAAGAAAACTAATATGAAACAATAATGGATGGAGGTTTTTATTAAATATTTTTGGATAACAACAATTACTATAATCATACTATTTGTATCCTAAAGCTATTACATACTAGCAATATTAAAGTCTATAAATTGAATACCACTTCAGCCTGATAGTGGACATTTCATAAATAAGTATTAGATTAAAATCGGAGATGTCTTTAAACTTTTGAATTATTTCTTGTTCGTGAACGTTGTCTTTTGCACTATTTTCATGCTAGGGAGACAAAACTCATACAGCCTATGTACAACTTACAAAACCAAGATTGTACAACAAATCTTTCTTAAACGTTTTGAATAACCTGTACTGCATTACTGGTGTGGTGTCAGGCGTTGTTCTAGTATGGAAATAACTACTTTGTTATTTAAACGTTTTGCCATTGTACACCGAGCTTATTCTCGAGTTTAGCATAATGAATTAATCGAAAATTGAACAATAAAACATGCTTCAAAAAATTCGTTTCGAAGGCAATTTTAAATTAAATCTCAGTAACAATAAACCTTAAGGACATTAAAGCTCCTTTGAAAAAATTATTTAAAAATTTAAGGAAAATCCGACTCATAATTTTAATGACTAAAAAATATTTAATACCTTCTATTAACCACACAATCATTATCTTCACAGCACCACTTCTTACTTACACAGTCTTCACCAGTCCTTTTACAACAACTGTTTGATAGGGAATAAAACGAAGCTAAATCTACAAATTCATATATCTCTATATCCATATCCACATCCTTTCCAATTTCCAAATCCATTCTTCTATCCATCAATCCATCCAACCTCCAACCCTAAACCCACCCACCCAACCTTTCATCCACCGATCCAACTATTAAACTTTTTTTTGTTTGTCTCTCTCTGTTGTTGTTTTTGTTTGTTTGTCTACCTGACTGTTTTTGTTGTTAGTTTGTCTATCTATATATTACCAATATAAGAAAATGGTTATTTTAAGAAGATAGTTTAATTTATTTTACTGACCTGACCGATACAACACAGAGATTTGCAAGACACACCAGAAGAAGGAGAACTGCGATCTTCATTTTAATCAGCTCAGTATAACTTAAATAAAATCATGTTATGTAAGGATTAGGTTAGATATATTTGATTCCACCAATTGTGTAAGGAAAGGGCGACTGATATGTGGGCAACATCTGGCTCTTCTCATCTTAACAACCAGGCATTATGCTTGGATTTCTAATGGGCAATGGTCGATAAGACTACTGAGCCATCATTAGAATTGCATGATAGGTAAATAGATGTACATAAGAAACGTATTAATTGTTTTATTATATTGCATTTTTGTAACCCTTTCAAATGAAAGATAAAAACAAAACTGATATAGTATTTTACTGTAACGCAACAGGTAGACAATCTGAACGAAATTACATACGCATCAGCCCAAATATGAGCACAGACCAACAGACACAAAATTAAAATGCATAATACATTTTTTATAACCAGCTTTAAATATATATATATATATATATATATATATATATATATATATATATATATCCCCTTGATGATGTTCCAAGCGTGTAACATATTATTTGTGCTGATTTACTCTCATCATACTGACACTGATTTTGAGTTATATAAATGTCTTTAATTTGGTCTTATTTTAATGCTAATTACTGTATGTCGCGAAAACGCTACATCAGGCACGTATGGACCAAACAGTAATTTAATGATTTTAGTCCGGGTCAGTTTCTCTAAATATCCAGCACAAACAATAAAGTATCACAAACTAAACATACGAAATCCTTGAAAACTATAGTTTAATAGCTCAGGCATAGCGTTACATAAATCTGCTGCACCTGCTCACTGACTAACTCTTATGAATTGTTATTTTGAAGCTTCGTCGTCGTGGTTCTACTACACTACAGTAACACAATACTTTCTAACACAAAGGACTTTCTTAAATGTGTAGAGACTTAGTTGTCCCCGGTTAAGTCATTTTCGTTAAGTCCTATTCAAGGTCAACTAATAAAGACGCATATTTCTCATTTGACTTATATTTTCTATACACACAAAACATGTGAGCAAATACTGTCCTAAATGCTAGTGTTCAGTCGTTGTATATTCTTCCATGCTCAATGCAGCTGCTGTGGGTATTCACTGCTATTGTTACCCTATGTTTCCGATTTCGGTTCTTCGTGCTACGGCTGTTGTGCTCGAATGATTCTCCTATTGATTACCAATGACAGTGCTGTTCAATAACACTGCTGTCGGTACTAAATGCCGGTATAATGCCACTAATGTAGGTATTCAATAGCACTGCAAAAATTTATTTTTGTCAGTATTCAACCTTAATGTATTTATTATGAGGTGTAGGTCTATGCTCAGTAATAGTGTTGTCAAGGTCACCGTGAAGACCTTTTTTTGTTTTGTATCCAGGATAGTGGTCCACCACCTCAATTCCTGTTGTCCATATTTTTTATGTTCTCTCATTATTTTACAATGCTATTTCAAAGCTAAATTCGTTATATTTACCCAGCAACATGATCACATTATTCCAGCATCGATCTCTCTCCATTTGCCAATGTCAATGAAACAGGTGAACTCTACTTTACCTATCACATGGACCGTACTGTTCTAAAGTGCACTTTTATATATAGCCGAAGACTATATTGTAAATCCTTTAATTTTTTATAATCATACTTTAATAAATGACAGCTTGGCGATGCATCGTATTTCGTTATACTTGCTTTGCACCCAAGTACCATTTTATGTCTTATTGGCGGATGTCGCAAAAACGCGACAAACCGTAATCAGCAGATAACTTCCAAAATTATTATCATCTGATTTATACTGTTTATATACATAAAGGAGTGAATAATAAAGCTATTAGCATTTTTGGAGCAAAAACAAAATCACCTATTTAGTAATAATAATCACGTAAGTAGGCTGAATTCACGAAGTCAAAAAATTACGATGGGCGTGAGTACCGTTGGTACCGATACAACCGTCTGGATGTACCCAATACACAACCACCGGCATTAGTAGGATAAATACACCTATGCGCATATGCTACACGCTAAATCGGTATGTCACGATAACGCGTTAAGGGATATCTATCAATCTATCTAACTAACTATATATATATATATATATATATATATATATATATATATATATATATATATATATATATATATATATATATAAAATAAAAAGGAGACATGCATTATTTTCCTGTTACTTCCCCGCTCTCTAGGCATATAGCTACATTCTCCCCATCCCCACCAGTCTGGTAGGCTGAAGCTAACACTAAATGTTGTCAATCCTAGTGCCGGCTATTTGGTGTAGATAATTTATTTTTTAAACGATTTGAAATTAATGAGAGGTAATAACAAGTTCTGATTGATCTTTTCAGTCTCGTCTTTAAACTGTCGTCACGGACTTTAAAGAGGGGAGGGGAAAGGAGTAGAAAGTGAGGGTGAGTATTATCGTCATTTACGAGCTACTGATAGTTTTTTAAAGCAATATATTTTCAGTCGCAGCATTGGTAGTGTCAAATTCACAAATTATGAATTACTGAAAAAAAAAGAAATTAAAACAACTGAATAGCTCGTATTTAAAAATCCACTACTATTTACATACCAGTAAAAAAGCATGAGTCAATTCTTAAAGTTTAGTAAAGACATTTAAGGTGTTCAATAAACAGTGACACACGCTATATTTTTATGAGTTTTTAAATTGTGGTGTATTATTACGTATTAAGAGAAAAAAATAAGTTTCTTTAATTAGTGCATTATTAATTTAAAAACTTAAATAGGGTTTCACTGATGATAGAGAGGTAAATAGCACCATATATATATATATATATATATATATATATATATATATATATATATATATATATATATATATATATATATATATATATATATATATTTATTTATTTATTTATTTATTTATTCATTTATTTATTTATTTATTTATACATATATATGAAATATTAATCAATTCATAAAAAATTTAAGTGGACATCCAATTAAGTCCAATGTGATGTCATATTGCATATTTCCTCGGGTCTTGACATACATACCAATTTGAAATGAATTGGTCAGATGCAATTAATAGAAATTTAGCTTTGGAATTTCCATCCATAGACATAAAAAAGACGGCTAAATAAAAGCTTGTAATGACAAGTTAATCTTGAATTGAGATGCATATATTTGTAGCTAACATAACCTAAACAAACTTTACCTAACCCAACCTTATGAGACCTAATTTAATTTGATATTATCAGATCCAAACCGTAACTAAAACGTCTATGCTAATCTATCAAACATAATCTATATAAAGACTCCACCAGTCAGGTAATACACAAGGGAAAATTAACAAAACACTTCACAATTAAGACTGGAGTGAAACGGGTATGTATGACATAGCCAATTATATTATTGATTGTAATCAACTGGATCATGCTGAAAACAACAAAAAACTACACAAGAATCCATTGGGGTTTCTCTAAAAGTCTGGAAGATCTCTATTTCGCCGATGACATCTGCCTACTTTCTCACAAGCATCCGCATGCACAAGCCAAACTGAATCGGCTATCTGAAGAAGCCTCCAAATTTGGACTAAAAATCAATAAAAATAAAGCAGGTCATCAGAATCAATAACATCCAGGACTTGCCCATACAGCTAAATGGGGAAGTTATGCGATAAACAAACACATTCGCGAATCTGGGAAGCGTGACCAACAAGGACAGGGGAGCAGATGATGACATAAAATGACGCAATAACAAGGCTAGATGTGCCTTCAACTCACTGCGCCCGATCTGGAGGTGCACGGCTCCGTCACTCCGGAGCAAAATTGGGATTTCAACACAAATGTCAAGGCAGTATTGCTCTATGGCTCGGAGACTTTTAGGGTTACAAATGCAAATACCGATAGGCTAGAGTCGTTCACAAATAAATGCTTACGACATATACTTAAAATATCAAACAAAAACCTGTGTCAAATTTCAAAACAACAGCCAATAGATAAGGATATAAAGGACCGTAAATGGGGATGGATATGACACACACTAAGTAGAGAAAAAGATAATATTGCAAATGCTATTGACTGGAATTCAAAAGGAAAAAGGAAAGTGAGCAGGCCAAAGAAAACATGGAAACGAACGGTAGAGGAAGAGTCTAAGACATCTGGGCTCACGTGAGCACAGATAAAGGGAGCAGCCCAAAACCGAGTTCATTTGAAAGGTGTGGTTGCAGCAGTTTGCTCTCCAGGCGCCACAAACGAAAGATGATGATGATCCGGGAATATTACCACTCTTCTGGTATACAAAACGTATCTGCTTGTTATTGTAGGCAAGACAAATTTCTGCAATAATATAACAAATAAATCTTACTACTAAAAGAATAATAAGGCATAAAAATAAAGTTAACTAAAGTTAGTAACCCTGCGTGCTACTGCTATCTTTTTTTTTTGGGGTTTTACTTTAACTACTAGAAATCAAAATTTAATTACAATATTTGTAAACCACATGCAACCTTCTTTTAAATATATAAATAACATGTTTTGAGTACATTTTAATATTTGATTATCAAAATATTACTTATGTAAATCGACATAAAACACTATCCTATCTAAGAAATCCTAAAACATTAACAATTCAAAAAGTATATGTTTTATAATATTCAAAAGTATTTGTGTAAACATTTATCTAATACAAAAACAATTGGATAAAAATGTTCAAACAGAAGCTAAACACACTTACCCGACTGTTGAAGATGCCAATTAAATTATTTGGGCTTGAAAACTTTAATAGTAAGGTAAAACAAAAGAAAAATACGAACAGGCGTGAGATCTGTAGACCTACAGAACGATTGTGAACTACCAATACAGGAAGAGATTGGAAATACTGCATCGGAAATTAAAAAGACGATTGATCCTCCACTTACCGGTGACTCAGGGGGTATAATAATATTAATTGGGTGGTAAATGGCGCGTTGTGGGAGAAATACAACAGGCGCTAGGTTGACGGTGATGTTTTTTTCTCTATACGAAAAGCAAAATCTTCATCCCAACTTCAAATTTAACCGAAAACGAAAGATATTGAAATCCATTTTTTACCCGAAATCAGCATTTTAACAGAATTTCGCTATGATCGGCCCTTACCTACTGCACATTCTAATTAAATATAGTCATAGTCATACCCTTAAACTTTGCATATTAGCTCTGACTTGACAAAAGTTATATTTAGATTTCTTTCAGGCGAGGGGAGGGGGACAGACAGAGACCCACAAAAAAGTATACCGCCACCTATAACGACATATTTCCTATATAGAATATATACTTTTACCAGTGTCCGCGCTTTTTCCCGGATTGAAAGTATTATTATAGACGA